GGACATATGTCCATTATACTTAATAACAAAGCACCTTTATGTTGATTTGACACACTATTTTTCTGTTAGTAGAAGTATACTTTTAAATACGATTTTCACATTCACTCACAACTTTCTTAATCAAAGTCTCAAACACATAAGCATTTGTTAATCAATTTGTTTTGTATACTTAAGTTTTGCTTTTTTCAACAGTATTTTTCTCACATAGATCTTCACAGTTTTACTTTTAGGCTACTCATTCAAATAAAGAACACACAAACCCGAGAAATGTATTGTAATCTTAAGGAATGTATTAAGTTGGTTGAAAAATGGTGTATGGCATTATTAAGAGAATCTGGTTCATCTGGAATACAAAGAATTTACATAGCTACTGACGAACCTTCTATTGTAGAAGAGGCTAAGCAACTGTTTATATTGTCCTTTTTTGTTTATTGTTTTTTATTTCGACTACATTTTTTTTTCAATAAAGACATTCATTTATTCACGTGATAGTTTTACTTTGCAGAGAGTACACAAATCTGTGTGTGGTATTTGGAAATTTCATATTAAAGATAACCCTGGATTAAGAATGATATAAATGCACATCAGATATTTAGTGACGATTGTGACATATTTTAACATTCACAAACGTGACTTTTATAAACGCTAATAAATACAAATTTTGATTATGTATCTTTAGTAACTAACTACTTCATAGTTAGCAACGTTATAAATCTTTATCATTTGAAGGTGTCTTTTAAGATATATCTTATTATTGAACCAATCTAAATACGTAGTCAAAATCAATACATTCTCTTGATCTCTTACAATAATAACACAAACGAGTTTATGTTACTTTAAAGTGTACAGTATTCCATTTAATTCTGTATAGAAAGGGCCTTCATTAATACAAATTTATTTTAAACACAATTATATGTTTCCATGTTATCATTATTCTATTAAATTAAAGTAACATGAATTTTCAAAGAAAGATAATGTGATTAAATTGATGATTTGTTCATTTTTTCTTTTTTGTACCTGTCAACTGACCATTTGCATTTGGATGGGCATAATGTTCTTTTATATCAATATTTATGAAGCCGTTCGAAAATTTACTGACATGTTAATTAAACATGCAATAGTAATACAATCTTTTCTTTTTGTTTTTATATCATAATAAATAATAACCTACCATGGGAAACGTTCAAAAGCATATCTTATTAATGCATGCATGTGGTTTTTCGTTTCGGGTATTCCAGCTACAGCTTTTTGTACAAGCCTGGAAAAAAATCAAAGCCTTGCCCAAGTTCCTTCATTTGCGGGAACAGTATTTGACACTTATCTGTTATCAATGTGTGACTATCTTATCTGCAACATGTCTTTAGATGTAAATGTCCATTATTACATTTTACGAATATTTACATAACAAGAAGAAATATAATAATATCGTACATACATTTACACAGCAATCAAAAAGCAGCGATCAAGCTTTTGTTTTGTTATTAATTACGTCAAACGGTATAATTGTTTCACTATATTTGATATAATCAATTTCAATAAAATATAGGCTATTCAAAGATTACACTTATTTGAATTTAGTATATTATATTTCAGGAATGCAGACTACCTTATGAACTTAGGCAACCTCGACACAAAGATAAATCACAATTTGCTAAATCATTTTTTGTATCATCGTAATTGTAAATTACCACCATGAAGAGCAAAGAATTTTTTTAAATGTTATTAACAACATATTTTAGATTTCTATAAACATGCACAAAACATTTAAATTTTATATTTCTTAAACTTGTTGAAGGTAAAGCATTAATTTGATTCTGTATCGTTTAATGGGTTAATAGTCAATATGTGTTTCAATCCACCCAAGATATTCAGTGATCTTGATAATTTAAAATGATAATCGATTTCTTAAGAGTTTGAGTCAAGTGTAAAACATTTTCAAAAGATAGAATTTCTTTAAAATTTGCAATCTGATTTGTTTGATAAACATTCGAATATCTAGTCAAAGCAATGACTATCATGAAAAAGAAATCATATTTATATAAATCAACAATAATAATTGTCACAGGTGTATTCATGTTTTCCTTTGTAAGAAGTTATTTAGGGTTGTATTTTATATTGAACCAGCTCGGGCTATCAAACAGGACTGCAATTAACTATAAGTGTCTCAATGAAAATTCTTTACAAAATTATTGTAATGACAAAAATGTGCGAAATATTAAGTGTTTTTTACTTTCGTCACGGAACTTTCCTCAGGAAATCTTGTTTAATAAAAGCCGTTGCAACCAATTTTTAACACTAGAACAATACATGGGACGTACAGGAAACCAGATGTTTGAAATAGCTTCTCTGCTTGGGATATCATTGATTTATGATATTATACCAATCATTCCTTCCGATACACTATTGAAAAGGTTTTTTAATTTACCAAATATCGCAAACAGGAAAAAATATGGAATACAAAATAAGGTTGTGCATCGATGTTCTAAACCTGCAAAAATATGCAGCATATCTAAGGAATTCGCGTCAGGGAAAAATATATCTTTGTTTGGTTATTTCCAGTCCTGGAAATATTTTGAAACTGCTAGTAGTTTGATAAGAAACATATTCAAATTTAAACAAAGGCATGTATATAATGCCAACACATTTCTTTCAAATGTTTCATTGAATGGTTTTGAGCGAGTTTGTTTTCATGTCCGCCGAGGGGATTTTATAAAAAAGGCACGACTTGACAAAGGATATGCTATACCAGATATGGCATTTTTTGAGAAAGCAAGGCAGTTTTATCTTGATAAATTTCATCGAGTTCAATTTATTGTTGTAAGTAATGAAAAGGAATGGTGTATGAAAAATATTTTTAATGTTCATGTCAGTAATTTTTCAGACCCTGCAGATGATCTCGCTTTGTTATCGTTGTGTGATCATGTTGTCGTGACTCTGGGCACATTTGGATGGTGGGGTGCATGGCTTTCAGGAGGAATTACTGTTTATTTTGATTTCTTTCCAAGAAATGGAAGTATGTTAGCACTAGGAAAAAAGGAAGACTATTATCCACCAAGCTGGATAGGCATCCGATAGAAATATCATTTGTTTATGACGCCAAGTATTTCAGTTTTCATCCGCAAATATTTTCTTTTTTTCTTTTTTATTCCTCTTTAATAGACCAGTTTGTTGTCAATTTTAATGCATGAATTATTCCATACTATGTCTTTTATCTTTGTTTTTATTGTGCTCATGTTGAATGTGAAACCAAGACGAAAGAACATCATTCATGAACGTATAATGCGGATATAAATCATTGATATCCTCTTTTGAAAGATTACATTAGAAGATAAAATCATTGCCGTATTGCTTTATCTTACGTTTTATAAAAAAATTCCATGAATACTCATTTTCTTTGATTATATACCCTTTTACCGAACTTGCTTTTACTGCATTAAGATAATAAGTAATGTCTATTATTTTAGCCCACAATGTTTGATGTTAAATTTTAAAGTTTTGCGTTTGATTTTTTTTCTGGTTTTCATGCCCATAGAAAATGAAACATCGCTCTAGTTATTTCTTTCATCTTATCAATGGATAGGTTTGCTAATACTGATCAGGGGTATATTAATTTTGGCAATGCAAAAGTTTTTATCACTATTACTTTTTCCATCATAGTGAGCTTTCTGTGTTGCCACTGCTTTAAGCAATTGAACAAATCTTGAAGTTAAGGTTCTAGATTTATGTTTGTATTTTTCTTGTAACGTGACAAAAATAAAAAGCCAATCAGATGTCCACTTGAATTTTCTATTTTTACAATACTCTATGTTAGTATCTTTAAATGACCCGACTCGTAATATTGTTGATTTTTTGGAATTAAGCTTTAAACCGCAAATTTTACTAAATTACATAGACAAGTTTTTCGAAGGACTTAACTGAACCATCGTTTACGGAATTTGCATAATCTGCAAAGAAGGTTTGTTTTATTTCTTTGTGTTCGACTTTAATTCCTTTTATTTCACTATCTTTTTTCTATGTAATTTGATAAAATTTCTATACATACAATAAATAATGATGATGATAAAGGGTATCCTTGCCGAACACCCCTTTCTACGGTAAAAGGTTCTTGGAAATGACCGTTATTAACAATTATACTTGAAATATCAGTGTAAAAATGTTTGACCCATTGCATAAATTCTTTACACAATTGAGGAGAATACTTAGCATTTACAAATTAATTGAAAATCTTATGCAATGTTGTCAACCATTATAGATATATACATGAACACGGAAGTTGTTTTTGCCGAATTTATAATTTATTACTTTAACAAAAAGTGATAAAAAAAAAACCTTGGAATTACCCCCAAATCGCAAACTTTTGATGAAAGAAATTTTGTTTTGTGACATTCTTTAATTGTTCTATTAAACTGGTACAGAAATAATATAAATCTAGTATTTACTTATATAAGTTCATAGTGGTTTGATGTTAAGGTTTAGTCGATTGTTTACATAATAAATTCGCATACCTTATACGTCAACAAAACGGACATGATTCCTTTAACGGGCAATATTATTTGGTGGAAAACCATAGATGGCAAGAAGAATTAACATTTGTTAAAGCATCAAGACGTTAATAGTGATCTAGGTTGAACGAAACTTGATATCAAACCTCATAAATTTACATAAAGGTTGAACTGAATATTTTTAACAGTTAGTACGTAAAATCGTCGGCATTTTCCGGTTCAAATATTTTTGTCAAAGTAGAGGCCCCTAATTTTTTTACTTTTATTTTTTTTCTTAGTTTTGTCCTGATTACTTCTTTTAAACTTTCAATGGAAATTAAATGAAAATTTACAGGATTGAGAAGTACTTTAAGATGTTGCGCATATTAAATGGGTTTTCCGGTTAAATGATTTTTGGCTCATTTTCTAAAGGGGGTATATTTAGGTTATATTTGTATATCAGGTGTCAAACACTCTTTAGCCAAAAGAAATACATGTGTTTGAGGATTAATAAAGTATGGGAATTATTTTCAACAGTGTTTGAGATATCTAATTTGGTGCTCATTAGATATTTCCAGGATCAAATCACAGATTTTGTAGAATATTTTTCTTGTGATACTTTAAGTACCTTTAAATAGAATTTTATTTGTAACTTTTCTATAATAGATTTTGTTATTGTTTAAAGTTTGTTACTGACTTTTCTTTCTTGTTACGCTTGGCTCGTAGCATTTGCTTCATTAACACATTGATGATAGTTCTTTAAAATATTGTATAATTCATGACATTCTATGTAAATAACCTGTGCATCATATCTAACAACCTTATCTAAAATATGTTCATGTCATCTATCTCTTCTACGACATTGTTTGATATAACAAGTATGCATTCTCATTGTAAATTACAGTTTTATTTGCAGGATATTTAAAATAATAAATAATAAAGACCAGGTTCAATTAAACCAAATCCGGTCCTTGTCATTTATCTTATTTGTACAAATCATTGCATCACCAACAAGCTATGAATTATACTTTTGATTTTTTCAACGATCTGTTATGCTTTAAATTGCTATGTACTTTTGAACTGATTTATTGCCAAGGTTGCCAAACTCCTCCATGCAAAGCCGGGTCAGCATTAATATCAATGTCCGGAAATTTAGATGGAATCATTCCTTTTTCGTAAATCTCAAGTCTTTGCAGCATTTTCTCCACTATATTTGGAAATTGTTCAAACACATTGTCTTCTTCTAGTGGATCGTTATCGATATTATACAAAGAAAGGTTTGACGTAGATACACTGATACCTTTTAAACCTAAAGTCAAAAATATAATCATTTTCATTTTATGTCTTTCAGTTTTGTACTTTTACAGATTGCTGCTCATGCAAGCACGAACATAAACAGTAGATATTCTTCTCATCGTCACTCCAATAATCAATATTGTTTTAGCATTTAATGTTCTTTTGTTTAGGAGAACTGTTCGAAATTGTCGCTAACAACATGTAGGAAGGTTGGTGCTTCCTAAAAATATGGTTGTTTGTTACTTATCCGAAATATTATGATGTACAGACAAAAATGCACACTCTTTTGTATATAAATGTGTTTTGCATTAACGAAAGTAACAACAAGATCATACTTAATAAGAATATTACTAAATCAAATCATCATAAAAATTACAAATAACTTATTTGTAATAAAATAGTCTATAGTTTGATTCGAAATGACAGCTTATGAACTAAAAAGCGTCTTTCTGAAAAGACCTATGCTTAGGATCATTAAAAACAAACAATAAATAAAGTATTGAAAATGAAAGATCTTGTTAGAGAACACTCTTTGTAAAATATTTTGTAAGAGGCTGTTAAGAAATGAAACAATAAGAATATACAGGTTTTTATATTCAAACAGTGTATTTTAATAGCTATTTGAAAGCCTAATAGAAGCCTATGAAGCCTATATTACCCAAATTATTTACTATATGTTTATTTATTTTCATTTTTATTTTTTGTTTCTTTTTTAATGGTTTATTGACGAGACTCATATATATGAAGATCGACCTTCACATCAAATAAAATTACATGTACCTGTTTGTCCTATTATAAGTTTCCACGCACCGGTCCTCAAGGAAAATCTTCTTCTTGGATGAGTTGTATCATCAATATTATGAAGAATTTCTGTTCTCTTACAAGGGGTTCCGTATCTTTAAATATATATCAATTTTCAAGGATAATATTATACGTTTAAATATTTGTATGCATTCATATCAAGGTTTTCATTGAAATACCATTATTAAAAAATAGAAATCTAAATTAAAAACAAAAAATTAGTTTATTATGAAAAGTTAGTTAAACCATATATATTTTTGTTGATAATCATTATTATCATAGATAATACGAACAACGAAAATTATATGTATTGTTAGGAAATGGTTGCCTTAATTAACTTTTTAAAGTTGAGATATTTATCTCAAACTTTAATGTAAACCATTATTCAAACATTTTGTAAAGTGATGAGCATGATACATGAAATACTTGCTTATCTTGACAGGGTGAAGTTGTTACGGAGCTGTGATTTATTTTTCGGGGCAAATAACGCTTTCCGCAATTAATACCATGAACGCTAAATGAGTCGAAAGCGTAGATGTCCATAAGGTACGATACGAATTTAATGCGCGTTTAAAAGCCTATGAATGGTGACAAAACGCTTATTTGGCAGTTTCAGATCAAATAAACTAAGCATCACAGTCAGAACTGAAAATATCTACTTGTTTATTTGTACAAATGAAAGACGTAGCTTGCAACTTAACAAATCCGTAAACAAGGTGGACACTTGTTTTGAAAATGATATATATAATGTAAAGTTATAGGTGTATCTGTTTTTTATGTTATGCCACGAATATTTTCTGTGCTAACCATTACATTGAGCGTACGCAAATGAACAATGGCAACCTAACGGTAATTAACATTTATGTTACTTTAGAAGAGGATTTTGAAACATATTAACTTACTTCAAGCATGCCCATTGGTCTATTCCGTCTATGTTGTCAAATTCGGTTGCATTAGCACCAGCAAGATTGATAATGGTAGGAAACCAGTCTGTTACGTGCATTAGTTCTTTTGATTTGTAACCCAACTCTCTAAAGCCAAGAAGAGGACTATGAACAAAACCCACTGCACGAATACCACCTTCCCAAAAGGTGCTTTTCTTCCCTTTAAGCGGCCAGTTGCTTCCTCCAACTTTTGGATTACCACCATTATCTAGTCAGCAGATTTAAAATAATTGCAAGCAATAGAATTTCAAATTGTTTTACACCATTGTTGTACTACTTGAGCAGGTTGGTGTTAAGAAACATATATTAACATCACTTTGTTCTGAATACACGTATTTTTATTCATGGCCCCACGCTCAAACTATAAAGGTAAGGAATTGCCTCTGGACCGTCCGTTTTTGTGAGAATTCACATGCATGTGCATGACAGTAACATAGTAATTAAAGTAATTCATATTCGAGATTAGCTATTGTTTTTATGACAGGCTCCAATTTGAAAGCAAAATAGTAACATTGTTTATAGTCTAAAACATATCTACTTTGAAAGTTGTCAATTTAAGGAAATGCATTCATTTTATAATTATAATTTAATCAACAATGCTAATGAATTATACTTTTTTCTTGTACAGATTAATAAACTAAATACCTGTACTGAAAATGATCACAGTATTGTTCCAGTTACCACGTTGTTGTATCAATTCAACAATGTTTCCTATTTCTTCATCCATACAAGATACCATTCCTAAATGGTTACATTTGATAATTATTTATTGATATTATGAAATAATTACGACACTCACAAGAATATTCTTTAAGTTATATGTGTGTAGATGTTGAATGCCAGATTTGTGGCAATTGCACTGTTTCATTTTGCTTTTGCACATTTTGTGCTTACTCTCGCGAGCATGTATGGTCATACTCGCTTTAATTATCTTGTATATGGGCAAAACATTGATTCATTTTATTTAAATAATTTTAGACGTTAAAGCAAGTAAACTACACCCTAGCAATTCAATCGTGAATCAGTTGTTATCATTTCACATATTTATTTGTATTTTGAAAGACACCTGTTGATTTGTATCTGATATCTACATTGATAAAGTACATTTATGATAATATGTGGGAAACTAAGCACATTCTAAATAAAATTTATGATTTAATTGCTGCCTTCCATTTTATTTCTTAAACTATATATGCTTAAAGATAAATGTTATTCCAAAGACGATTTGCCACATTTCTTAGTTTGATTGAAAAGTGTTATTTTAACCTGCATATTTTCGTCTGTTCAAATCTTCAATATTAGAATACCAATTCAAAAATATTTCAGGTACTTGGAGTGGTGCGTGCACGGCTTGAAACGATAAATAGACAAACATGGGCTGAAATAATAATACATAAAACATATGTTTTCTTCAGAATATATCTATTGAAAGTTCTATATATATCCATTGAAAGTTCTAAATGATTCAATATTATCAATCAATAATATCAATCAATTTCCAGCATTTAGTTGCCATACATTTGTTTCACACCTTGACATCGCGCACATAGGGAATGAAAAATTTTGAATAACACCTTCAGGATGAAAATCAAAGTGAATGCTTGGACGGGCAGACTTATCTGTGATGTGTTATCTGTGATACGCAGGCTACTTAATCTCAGATCCCCTTTCAAAATTCCATTTTTGTTTAGTTCTACCCTTGTTTCACACGCTATTACTTGGGGACCATACACCGCTTTTCATAAAATGTCATGGAAGTGTCACATTGAAGATTCCATGATAACTGCCGTATGAATACATCTGCGAATGTTTCTGAATTCAAACTTTTACCATTTTATGTTCAAATGTTAAATTCTGCTAAAGACAGAGCTAGGGGGCGAAGACGGTAACTTGCACTTTCCAATATCGTCCAAGAATATGCTCAATCACACCGAGCCGGCAACATTGTCATTTTAGACGTCTTGAACTTTCTTTAAGGATTCTTATCTTCTCTATTTTATCTTTTTATCGAACTTAAATTTAGTTGCGAAAAGAATTTTTTTCTTAAGCAATTGTATTTCTCTCTTCGTTTTATTTAACATAAATTACGTGAGGTGTAATATAAGAAAATAGTCAATAGAACTTCAACAACTTTACACCATAGTAACCTTCAATGTAGCCGGACCGAAGCCTCCGGTTTCTGTTCGTAAGATGTTTGTTGGCTGACGTATTGGTCATTATAATGCCGTAAGGTCATCAATATAAAAAGTATATGTTATAATGTAGTAACAAAAACAAATCATATATGATTACTAGGCTCAGGACAGGATTAAGTGACTTTTTAAGTTTCAATGAGTAATTCAAAGGTATTTTGTACGATCTTTTAATCTTCATTCGAAACGTACTTGCGGAATTGTTAAAAAAAAAAGAAAAGTTTAATTTGCCATAGACCTTGAAGACCTACACGACAAACCAATAGTTTATTTTGATTGTCTTAATATTATCTGTCCTGATTTCTCGTATAAATAGAATTAAATAGCATACCTTACTAAGTTCTTGTTTTCGAATAATGTCTTTTACTTTATTAGCAAACAGATGAGTGGAGTAAACCCCCTCATATTTTGATATATTTGCTGGTTGATCATTCTCCAATAAATCATAACCTGTCATAATCTTGTCCTGGTAATTACTAGTTTGGTGGGTGTAATAATCCGAGTGACCACTAAGGAAACCTTGATTAGAGTCAAACAAAAAATGATGATGTTTTCAGTCAACTTATTAAATGCAATGAAAATAGTTACATTTAAGTTTGTTTTGCAACTCGTTCAAATTGTTATTAGATATTGTTTGTAACTTATAATGCACAAGTTGTTTGTTAAATTTTCATCTGAATGTCCTATAAATCAGGGTTATTTTTAAGTTTCTACATTGTTTAGTGCTATTTTGATATTCAATATGTCTTCTAGGTTTTTATGACACATTGAATTGAATTGAATGAGAATATTCGAAATATTGATAAAATATTACATAGATCTTTAGTAAGTAAAATTAAGTCAATGTCTAGTACTTGTGATAATGAATTTAATCAGAAGCATGTTTCATATAGTTTAAAAAGAAAAAAGCGTGTCCAAATTACAAGATCAACATAGTTATACTGTTATTAAGTTACTAAGATTCTTTATAATTTTCAGGCATTCCAATGAATATACCTTGTATTACAAAAGAGTCTTCCTTACGTTATTTAACTGTCATACATTCAACAAATGAAAGCAATTACATCGGTATTGATAATATAAATAACATAATATTACAAAATCACACGTGCAATATCGATTCTAGTTAGGAAAAAGTAAGTAAGACTCTGAAATACTGGTAACAAAATACCGAAAAATGAATCAAATCCACGATTTGTTGGTAAAAGTTCTCGTTTATAAAATCCTAGATGCCACTTTCCTACCATATGCGTTGAATAACCAGATTCTTGCAGCTTGTCGGCAATGGTGGGGAAGTCAACCGAAAGTCCAGCTGGAGTAGCAGGCGATAATACCCAATTTAGACCAGTATGTATCTAAAGTTATATGTCTTATATAACTTCTTTTATACATTTATTTCTCTATACAATTTTTCAATCAAAAGCAAATCACTTGTTACTTTAATGGTATAATAAGCCTACTGCACATTAAAATCAATTATTTGTTTAAAGGGAAATAAATTTAAAGCAACTGAATGACGTCTTTGAAGAATGACAGGACGGTGTATGTTGACTGAACTGAAACGTCATATCTGACGGAAACAACTGAACATAATATGACGTTCGCAAAGTTATTTCCGTTGTGGATGATAACAAAATATTTCATTAATGCATTAGTACACGAATATTGAATATCCAAAATATCATAAATACCTGATATCTTCCTGTCAAAAGTTGGCCACGCGTTGGTGTGCACACCGGTTGGACGTAATAATTTTCTAGTATTACACCGGACATTGCAAGTTTGTCAAGATTGGGCGTTTTGATTTCCGAACCATGATAGCCGACGTCATTATATCCAAGATCATCGGCAACGATTAATATGATATTCGGTCTAGTGTCCGAATAAGTCGGTAATATTTCGGATCGTGTAAGAATCGATTCGTTCTTTAATGTCCATAGTTTTGTAAAGAAGTAGCAAAGAAGTAATGTAAGTGCCGTTTTGAACATATGTTTTGCTTTCATCATTTTGATTTTATGTTGTTATATTATCCCCGATCAGTTTGCATGATTTAAAGGAAAGAAAAGAACAGGAACATTTATGATGAATCTTATTTATAAACACTTTGATAGTTTAAAGCTATGCCTTAATGTGCAGAATGTCTTTACTTCAAAATATTACTGTTTAATTCACATACATCTAAGGAATCAAGGAACTCTCATTTCATTATGATGCCTATACTACAAATGTTTAAAAAATGATTTTGATTATCTAAAAATATTCCATGCTTGTAGAACTGTTTAAACACTGATGATCATTTTGTTTTCTTAGACAATATCAGTTTAAGAGTTTTATAACTTTTTTTCCAACGATTCTTTCTTTGATAAAAGTCTTAATGTTGTTTGTCTTCAAACAAAAAATAATTGGAATACTCCGATCGCATTGAAAATAAAAGTTTAAGATATCTTTTTTATAATTACTCAATACTACATGGTATGCTACTTTAAATTCTGTGAACATTGTACCATATATAGATTTTATCTTATTTACGATTTTAAATGGATTTTTAACGCATCAAATGCAAACTTGTGTTGAATTCCTAACCTGTCGCACAGTAGGTATGTATTCAATTTAATTTCAGCTATGAAGTGTAATACAGTGTAATTTACAAACCATTTAAATCAGATATGCGAATAAGAAAACTTGCGTTCTTTTTCAAAATACTGTTTCTCTTACAAATTCTTGCAGGTAAGTGGCACAAGCGTATTTTTCAATTTTGGTCAAAGTTTATCCGAAAAAATAAAATTGATGACAATATTTAGAATTTACAACCTGTTTATATTAAGCAGATATAGATTTTTAGAACTTTTTTTGAAATAAATTTTATAATGCAATTTAAGTTCCAGGAACGTATAATTTTAAAGTTATGTTTTCAAATAATTTTTTGAAAATGTCTGTTTTTTATAGAACTAGTAAACAATACATAATAAAAAAAAACCTATTCAATATAAATCGGATCAACCACGTTACATATACAAAAGTAAAAGGTTAATCTGTAAGATAGGAATGAAAATTTGGAGGAAACAGAATAAAATAGAAAGTTTGTCTCTTCGGATATGTATTTGCCTCTATTAACTGACAATCTTAAATAAATTCCAGGCATATGCTATATTACTGAAGACTATGCATCAAATGAGAGGACAGAAAGTGTTAACCAAATTGAAGACAATAGAAGGGTATTAATCAATTGTATTTTTTTTTCAAGAAAATTATATCATTCCATTAAATGATACAGTAAATAATATATACAGAAAGCTTATTAGAATAAACCAAAAACAATCATACAGGAGTATCGTTTTATGATATCCTTTCCTATAAGAAAATTCATCACTTGAAGAAATATCCTCAAAGTGCAAGTTTAACAAACTTAAATAAATGGTAAAAGAAATCTATTTCGTTGAATCTGTTTAGTCTACTGTTGAAAGAAATTTAAAACTGAGACGCCAGCTTGTAAATAGTATTCAATATTCATCACTTAAAGCTTAAGAATCCTGGAAGCACCAGAAAACGACAGTATAACAGTGACATGGACAAAAATGGTGATGTTTGTAACATGAATTTCAGGATTTTTTTGTTTCAGGAGAAATGTGCTACGAATGGCAAATTAGTTGACAACATAAAAAGGTTGGATATTCTTGATAAGACATGTAAACGATTAGGCTATGTGGAAGATAAAGATTCTACAAAGATACGGGCACATATGTCACCCAACTTAAAGGTACTGTACTGCCGAGTAAATAAATGTGCATCGACAGTGACACTTGAACTACTTAAACAACTGTTTAACTGTGACACGGAATGTTTAATTAAAGTTGCTGACCGTGTCCGTTTCAATATCAATGCGAGGGAAATAATGTATAATGCATTTTCATTTATGGTCGTTCGTGAACCATATGGACGGTTATTTTCAACCTACTGCAATATTTTCTATTTTCCGAAGGAAGACTGGATTTACAGAGGAACCAAAGTAATCAAACTTACCCGACTAAACATTTCATATGATAGTCTTACATATGGGCATGATTTAACTTTTGCGGAATTAGTTAAATATACTGTTGATACATTTGAAGCCGGAAATACTTTAGATGAACATGTCAGACCAATGCATCATAAATCGTGTAATCCTTGTTCCTTTAAGTTTGATTACATTGCACATCTTGAGACTCTTCAAACTGACTTTGACTACATTTTTAATAAACTCCAAAATGAAAAGGTAATAGAAAGATATCCTAAAGACATTTTGATATCACTACAGAACTGGACCACTTTTGGACCTATAAAACATTTATTCAGGACAATCCCATTGTTGAGAGGTTCAAATATATCACTTTATCAGGTATATCTGCGTGCTTGGTGCTACTTCCAAATAACTGGTCGTGTACTAAATACTATTGACTTTCCATATAAGAAGAGTGATGATTTTTACATTGTAAAAGAAGACTTCATAATAGAACTTAGTAAGGCAATGAAAGCATCTCTTTTGTATAAAGATAAATTGATGAAACAGAAAGTTGAGGCCATGGTACAGGCTTACTCAACAATATCCAATGAATACATGGAGCGACTAAGTAAAGTCTTGTTAGGTGACTGTCTTCTGTTTGGCTATGAACTAAAACCTGCTTATCTGTTTAAGGCAAACACATCTTATAAGACAAATTTGAGTTTTGATTATTTTAAGGGGTTGTGAACCATAGTTTTAGTGTGTATTATATTGACAATGCAAAGTATATGGATGGGACACATTGTTTTAAAACGACAACACTTTCTCATATTTGTTTAACCAGTTAAATGATTTCATAAACTACTGTAACAATATTTAAACATGGACAGTAACTTGAAGTTATGAATTTGCAAAATATTTTTGCTGTATAATGGTGAACTTTAATGTTTTCATTTAGGTCACATTTTTTTTTCTTACTCTATAGTTTCCTATATTTTTTTTGGAATGTATGGTATATGCTATCTAAAATGTATGTGAGGATAATTTATGTGTGTTCTACATTGCATCTTGGTAAATAAAAAAAATATTCGGTGTGCGACTGTCACTGTGTCTGTGAAAGTTATATAATTATGATAAAATACTATAGGGAGTGAATGAATAGTTTACGTCTGCAACGACTTATTTCCAAGATATGTTTCTATTAGTTTTCATGAACTTGAATGTGTCAAAGACACCTATCTTGGGCAACATTATGTATGTGATCCTATAAAGAGTGAATTCTGCTACAAAATAATTACTTGTTTAAAGTAATAAATCATCAGCTATAGTGAAAATCAGAGATAATTTGTTGTTTATCAGCAATTAACTAATCACAGATTTGATGCAGGTTTTCATTAAGTTTCTTTAATTTTTATTCAATATTTTTCTTCAACTATCTTGTAGATTTCTATGATTTCCTTTTTGTAAATAGTTTATAATGGCATCCAGTCCAAGGTTTGCTCGTGTGCCCTGTCCGGTTTGGTATTCTGTTAGGCTCCTTGCTAGAAGTCCTGTGTTGATGCATGTATTCATTGAATGCCAACCTGCTTTGTTTATCTTGTTTTTTGTACTTTGTGTTTAATGATAATGCCCTTTTAAATTTGAACACGATTTTATATAAAGGTAATTTAATATGATCTACTTATATGTGTGTTGATAATTTGTATCAATGTATCAATGTGTCAATAAAATATAATAGTGAAAATGATAACAATCAATATCAGTTTTAATCGTTCTATTACATCGACTTTAGAAATTAACACTGAGGTAGCACTTTTGTAATGGAATAAATGACAACGATATAGACAATATTTGATGTAACGTTATGGCATAGTGTGTATAACTTTGTTTTCTTTACATTTCATATGAATATAACCTTGAATGTTGTATTTCTTTTCTGTTATCTGTTTATTTCTGCAGGAAAGATAAAATCATAAGCATTCCTAAAAATGTATCAAACAAACTATTGAAAGATATCATGATTATTACTGTACTGTAAAACGACGACAGGTTTATTTTACCCCGTTTAATTCACTGTTTATGGATGTATAAAAGTATACATGGATACCTTTAAAATAAAACAATTAATATCTTAAAAAAGAAATCATTTTAAAAAGATTCATTAAATATGTTTATATGTATATGCTACACCATTATATATATGATATTTTGTTGACATTTTCCCACGTCCTTAACTAAACGAATACAAATGCATAAAAACGTTACGTGTTTAATATAATGTTTTTGTTTACTGTCTTTTCTCTTAAGGATATTAATATATAAAGGTATGCATAACACATTGTCAGCAACTTTATTATTTTTATAGTTTAATTATTTAAATAAAAAAGAGCAACAACATTTGAATGTATGCAATGCGAATTATTTTGTCAAATGGTATCTGCCCAGTATTTTTCTGCACTAAATGAAGCATGCAAAATTCATACAATGAGGTATACAAATACAAAAGTGCCCAGTAATTATATACTGTTGTCAATTTTCGAGAATTTGAGTAAAGTTCCTATAGTTGTCACAACTATGTTCAAATGGGTTTTGTGCTTAGACAGAGATGGCCGCAAAGATATTACGTGGTAGCTACAGCATAACCCTATTCAGGATACTTACTGATTTCAGCTCTTTTTCAATTTGATTTTAGTTAATTCCATTTAACATATCAATTTAAATATATAAACTAGCTGAACGATAATTTCAGAAGATTTTCTGGTATTACAAACATTTGAAATGGTTAATGATACTAACAGAGGAGTTTTGTGTGACCTTACAAGACCGGCTACGCATTATCTTATATTTCTTTATATGCAGTATTTTGTTGTTTGACTTTTTAAATGTCATGCATTTTACTACATTGCAGACGACAATTGACATTCTTAAAATAGATATTGAAGGATGGGAATGGGATGCACTCCCTGATTTTATAAAGGCACGAAGACTACGTTAATGTGAAGGAACTCTGTTTTGAAATTGACTTTGGATTTAGCTTCGAGTATAAAACAATCAAACAACAAATGGACACATTCCCTTTTTACTAAAAATGCGTGGGGAATGTTCCCATATATGCTCAAATAAAACTTTTGAAGCAGTTATTCAATGCTATGTTTCCTATACACCTAGTAATAAATGAACCATTGGTTTGGGAGACAATACAAATCGAAAACCAGGTTATGATTAAACACTTATAAATCTACGAGTCTTGCTCTGAAATGGTCTACGAATATGGTATACAAAATCAAAAATTGTCTAAACAACTAAATAATAATGTAAAATTATGTTGTTGTTAGGTATTGCAAATGAGATTCATGTTTTAAAAATGTCTTTCAGCAATTCAAAGTAGAGGCTTTTTTCAATGAAAAAAATGATTCATAATTGCCGAGCTGGGGAGCCAATGAAAATTCTCAATTTTCATAATAGCCGAGTTTTCTCATAAAGGCCGTACTTTTTGCACAATGGCCTTGTTTTATGTCCATAATGCCGTGCTGAACTTCATATAAGCTTTACGTTTGAAGAGAAAACGTGCCTAATATTGAAAAATTAATTAATTATTCTCATTAAAGTCACTTCTTAAAGAATTGACAACACTGATAAATCGCTCAATTATTATTTCTAGTAAGATGGTTTTTTATGCATCATATGCTATCGTGAAAATGAATTTGTCTTTAATAACTACAGTTTAACAGTGTATTATGCAACAAATCAACATAGAACTAACAAAGCCTATTGAATATTCAAAGATTTATTTGTCTAATTTTGATTTTTGTTCAGCTGAATTTTGATATTATGTTTAAAGATTAAACTCTCTATAGACATTATTACCCCTTTATAACTTTTTAATATGGATATCGTTGCTTTTATTATTCAGAATATTAAATAGGTTTTGGAAATGGAAGCAAACATATTGTAATATTCCTTGATAAAGTATAACCATCTGTTAGATCCATTATCTGAATCACTCTTTACATTAATACGTTCGTTAAATCAGACATTAAGGATGGCAATAATGTCAAACGTGAGGTTTCGGTAGACAAATCAAAACATAAGTATTTAGACGAAGCTGTTATACCTGTCAACAAATTTTCATTCCAACATGGTGAGTGATTATGAGGTTATACTTCATTTGGAGCATATAGGTCATCATGGATAATGTATTTATGTGTGATGGCCAAAAGTTCGGAAATTGCTGCCATTTGTGAAGACGATATTATCATTTCAATTTATTTTTACAAACATTTATTAACATTATATGAAAGATACATCCACTCTTGTAGCACCAAATGGTAACATTGTGTTTCTGTACCCAGTCATAAGATCATGGCGATTTTCTCCAATTCAAAAAACGAATATATTTTAAAGACTTTTTATTTGGCTAGCAATGATTACACAAATAATTTATTTATTTCAAACTATATAGCAAGCAAATGGTACACATAATTTAACAAGAAGGGAAAACATAAAAGCTTATGGACGATATGGCATATGTATCATGCCTACCTAAATCCAGCGTTCACTCTATGCACAAACTTACCAGGTTTGATATCATATTTCAGAGCTCATTTGATGATCACCAAAAGATAATGAAATGATATATGGCATAAGTTAGGTTCTTTTAATCATAATTTGTAAGAGAAAACCCGTCTGTTCAATAAACATGTTTGATGAATGCTCTCAATTTTCTTCCAGAGTATATTGGACTCTCTACTAATTGGCGCGAACAAGGTGTTTTTTTTTTCAAAGGAAAAACAAACAATTATTTAAAGTTTGGAAACACGAATGTAAAGATCTACCAACCAAACCAATTCATATGGACATTTCAGGGAAAGTAATTCAATAGTTTAAAAGTATTGGCGTTATCATACAATCACATCAATTTGAAGGCTTTAAAGCTTTTAACTGTTTTTATTTGTACAACAATTAATTTGTTGTAAGAAATATAAACGTTAGTTCATTTAAATTTATAAACGATTGATAAGGTAATCAACCATTAAAATCCTAACATTCTTGTGGTAACATTGTTTCAAATAACTAGGGTATAAGTTGCAAAAACAAGCACATTATTCAAACTTAGGCGTTAAGTATCGAAGCATTCTGGCTTATCAATAGAGTCATCATATTAACCAAACATGTATGCATCAATATAAATTATTGTGCTTTATATTTCTAATTTCGTAAAATTTCAGTGCAACTTGAATTTACAATAGTTCAACCATTCTTAAACTAAATTGCACGAAATAATGGGGGTCAGTTAGCTAGTAACGTGACATTGAGGTTGTACAATATCCCTGATTAGGACTGACACAGTTCTGTTTATCGTTGTATGTATTACAGTCCCTTCCTAAATCTAATACTTTTTAAGCTTTATATAAATGATGACATTTTTATCTTCTATTTACTTCATTGTGTTTAACTGTTTGATTATCCAAATGAAATTATTTCAGAAAAAATAAGAAGTAAAATCTTTTCAAAAACTTTATCCGATCTTAGATATGTAATTTCTTCATTAATTGTATAGATATCTATTTAAGTGGCACATTTTCTGGAAAAAAAACAATATCATCATCCATTTACCTAATTGTTTTAATGCTATTAAAGTATGGACGGAGTTTGAATGCAAATACGATAACCGCAATGGCTTTTGCCATACAATTAAGATTGTTGCAATACGGCTATAATTATTTATTTACCTAATTATATAACTGCTTTGGCATTGGTTACTGCCAAAAGATTACATGCATAATTACTGCAAAAGGACAACATAAAAAAAACAATCTTTTTACATGTATTATAACGTAAACAACAAAAGCATTGTATACTCAAAGTTGCTAAATGTTAAACTATAGCTGTGTTTTCTCTTCTATTTGCCTCTTCAAAAGCTTGTTGTACATTTCGATTTCTATACAGTCTAAAGCCAATGGTTGAAAGTCCTCATAGAACTTATTGGCAATAAACATTTTGCTTTCTACAACCCTAGGTAAATCCTTTACACCATAAATACAAATTTTGCGTACAACTTTGCCGTAACACACATCATACGGTTGCCATGAAACCGCTCGAGTTTTATATGAATTCCTCTTCAATGATCCACTCTTATTTCGGCCTGGTGCGTTTGGAAACATTATTATAGTTGAAAAGAATAATTCCTCAGGTCCATGCGTATCATTTAACCAGATCAAAAACTCTTTCACCAGGCTGTCATTCAGGATGAAAATGATTAATTCTCTACTAAATATTCCATATGCACTACCTGTATAGATTTTATGTTTGAATGGTACTTTTCTTTCTTTGGTAATAACATATTTATTATTCGTAATGACAGTCTTATACTGAGTTTTGTAACGCTTATTTAATAGAATGGGGGTACTGTATATAAAATTTGATCCATTTAAATCAGTAAGCATATTTACTATTTCTAAATTTGTTTTTAGTGTAAATTCTTGACCTGTTAGATTAATATAATATTTCCATTTTTGCTTAACATTTATTAATGCCCTTATACACATCATCTCAGCTTCCAAGTGTCGTATTGTTGCGTATACTACGTTTACACGATTTTCAATCACTAAAATGTTATCAAAGCATGATTCTATTCTTTTGAAATGTTCGTATATTTGGGAATGAGATTTTTTGTCAATATGAATACAATAAATGTTATGAGTGTAGTAAATGAATCGCAGTAACCTATGAGCTTGATTTGCATTAGTGTGGATCTTCATCGCAAAAGCAAGAGGAAAATCCTTTTCGAAAACAGTTGTATTGAACTTCCCGTACAGGTAGGAATATCTTAGTGAGGAACAGTTATAGCTGGCACTATCTATGTTACAGTTGTCTTTACCATACCAAATACTATTTTCTTCGTCATATGCTGTATTTTCTTTATAATTTAGTACCTTTGCTACTGATGTTGAGTTTACATGATGTATAGAAGATAGCCCTGGCTTTATCTCGTTTAATATGGCATCACATACATTCTTTTTATATGTTATATAGCGGTACATATCACATTTAACAGTGTTGACAACATTGTCAAACGTATCTTTTTTAACATTAGATTTCCATACCTCACTTTCGTTCTGAAATAAAGTCTGAATTCTGGATACTTGCACAGATAAAGCTGATTCGGATATATTGTTCGATAATGTATATGCATATTTTGAGACTGGTGTGATATTATTTGACATAGTATGCGCTGTAATTATC